GCCTCTCCGTCGCCGAATCTCAGTGTTCTTCAGAGCGTTTGGCTTATGCGGTGACGTGAGGGGACCAGCGTTACTTGTACTTGTCAGGGTTTTTATCCCGCCACACCAGTTGGGTATTAAATTGCCGCGGCTGTGCGATGTAAGGCATGACAGGCATGCTCGGAATTCAGTTCTGCTTTTACCGTAGGATCGTGCACGGGACAAACGGGCCAATTTCCCGCATTGCCACCGCCTTCGATAAAAATTAGCTCATTACAATCATACCTGCCTTTAAATCGACTTATGTTTATTTAAGGTGCTCTGGTTTATATCGAGCTGGGCACTTCAATAAGAGAAGCAGGATGCGATTTCGCCTACATTTGCTATGTGAAATGGTGGGTCATTTTTCCTGCGTCATCTTTTTTACAGTTACCTTTACTCACTTTCTGAGTACCGGTATTCCTTCATGAATCAGCAGTTTGCACGTTTTTGAAATTCTGAAGTTTATCGCATCTTCACTTCAACTCCATGCCTTTCAAAATCAGGGTTTAAACTTCGGTTGACTAATACTTCCCTTGTCAGAATGCCTTACGGATTGAAGCTGGGGTATAATGTTCAGCCTCAAGGCCTCAAATCTGATTCTGAGAATCGCGTGAGTGTGGAGTGCTATTTCCGTTCCACACCAAGCCGGAAGCGTGTTCCGGAACTGCCTCCGTGATAAAATGATTAATTATTCGTTTACCTCCATTACCAGGGGACCGCAATCAGTCATTTGCAAAAACTATTGCACTACCTGTGCCGTTTGGCTTTGAGACGAAGCACCAAGCATCAGACTGCACTGAAATGCATCTGTTCTTATGTTCCGGGGTTCTGTCGTACACTTGCACTACTGGTAAGTGTAAGTATTGGTAATGAGTGGGCGAGGTGGGATGGCCGGGGAGTACTCGAATCCCGCTTAACCAGTGACGCTCCAATGTTGACTAATAGATATATCTGCCAGGAAGGATAGAAATACTGAAATGTACTGCTCGGACTTATGAGTTATTGACCCACCAGCTTTTTGTCCCCGACTGCAGCACGTGCAGATTCTTCTTTTCCATAGGTGCACACCTCCCGGCAAATTCTTGCCACCGGATTACAGTTACAGTCCTAATGGCTCTCACCTTTACTAGCGATCATTCCTTCTGAATTTATCCTCTGCGTCTGCGACGGGAGCGTTGAATGGCTCAGAATGTACTGACTGATATCTAATATGGCGAGGAGGTGGTTATCGAAACACCACCACTGAGCTACACTGATACTTCCAACACTAAGCATAAGTGTCTTCCTATTTGCTGGCGGTCGCTTCCTTCCCCTCCCTCCCTTTTCCCATCCCGCTCCTATGGCACGCTTGAGGCACTAAAAGATCACGATTGAAAGCTGCCGGCCATGTCCGGGGATTAGCTCAAGTACGGAAACATCAGCCTAGGCAGTAGAGGTGCAACTGGAGGGTTGCCGATCGTGCCTATCGTGCAGTGGTTTGCTGCCCGTTGCATGCTGATGATGTAACCAGTGAGCAGGTATTATCATAGGGACATAATTCAGAACGAAGGCAGTTACAGCAGTGTTGTTCCCTTCATGAATGAGATGCCGAAACATAAGGTTTTAAAGATCACTCCGGTGCAGTTTGACGTGGGGGCATTTCGCACTTTCCGCTACTTCCCATCGGCATGACGACCTATCTAGGCAGCCTCTTCTCGAGTTGACAGGTTTTACCATGATGGCTAGATGAGCTTGCTCCAGCTTCACAAGAGTTCACAGGTTTCGCCAGAGTGAGACTTGTAAACCGGAACTAGGGAAGCAATGATAGTACAAAATGCCCCCCCCCGTCGTCAAACTGCGCCCTTAAATGCAAATGATGCATAAATGATGTACAAATGATGCAAAGTTATCAAAAATAGGTGTTCGTATGGTGGTTGAGGTTTTCCGCGGCACCACGTTAACAACATTCAAGGCATGAGCACAGTTCCTTATCAACGCATCGAACCTGAGATACTTCTGTTACTGGCGCATTGACCAAACTGTTTAGCCAATTCCTTAGAACTTAGCCAGTGGTTTAGACATAATTTTGCCATATAAAGCATAGTGTCCTCAAACCGGAGATAATACTCAGAACAGGAGTAGGGACTCCCTCAGAAGGAGTGGATAGATGTCACAGCTAGATCGAGAGATGAGTAGAAACGGTGTAATGGAAGTGACACGCTTAACGCGGATCGGGTGTCATATCTCGGTCTGTTCCGCCCAGCGGATGACAGAGTGGTGTAATGCGTGAAAAAAGGAAAAGCTAAATACCCGAAAAAGGTGGGTGATGTGTATGAGAAGAGGAAGTAAGAAATAATATTGTCGGAAATGTAAAGGCAAGTGGGAGGAAATGACTAGTAATAACACATTTATGAAGCCATTTACCCTCTGGAGACGGTTGGTTGGTACCTGATTTGTCTGGGAGGATAAAAAAACACCGACTGGCGCATTGGCTGACATGTACATCAGTTTATAGGGCATATCGCATTCACTAAGTCACTACGATCCTGAATGGAGGAGGAATGTGTGTAGCATCCTAAAAAGGGATTGACCGAGCCGAACGGCGAAAGTGTCATTCTGCTCGTTGGCTCAAGGGGCTTTCAGCGTTGACTCCAAGCCTATGGAAGTAAAACAAGCTGGAGGAACTCATGAATCCCTTGGTGTGCAAATATCGCGGCTGGAATATGGTCAGGAAGCGAGCTGCTGGGTTAGGACTTATGGTTAGGCCCATAGGCATTAGCTTGGCTCGCTGTACTTATGCGCAACGTATATAGCGGTACCTATGCGTTTCTTCGTTGCTTTTCCTTCATCTTAGGATTAGTGCCTTTTAGCCCCACTAGAGACATTTCGGCTTAGTTTCAACTCTCTTCGTTCCGGAATCACGTAGTTTCGTAGCGCTTTCCGTTTTCATATTTGAAGTGCTCCCGAACTGTAGTGGCAGAGAGTGGCTTTGTTTCAGCTCCATAAAGTGTCAAGCTTTTCCAGGTATTCGATCGCATTCGCCTTCATGTTCGTTTCTGTACTGATGACATATCCAGCTACCATAGCGATCATCTCCGAAACGTTCGGGCAATACTTGATTGAGGGCCTCAAACAGGTATTCTTCTGAATATTCATAGTGACCGCCAATGGTAAGCTTTCTGTTGAGCGTCCCACACAGTTCCCTTAAGTCATTCATCATCCGCCAGCGCTG